TATCTCTCTCTCTCTCTCTCTCTCTCTCTCTCTCTCTATCTCTATCTCTCTCTCTCTATCTCTATCTCTCTGCCTCGCACATAAACAGGAGATGTGATATGACAGGAGTTAATCGCAGCAGCCACGGGCGTTCATCCTGAGGTGGTCTAGATGCTGTTATTTAGAATATGGCTTATCTCTCTATTTGTCTGTGTGTGGCTGTCTGTGTGTGGCTGTCTGTGTGTGGCTGTCTGTGTGTGGCTGTCTGTCTGTGTGTAGCTGTCTGTGTGTGGCTGTCTGTGTGTGGCTGCTGTCTGTGTGTGGCTGTCTGTGTGGCTGTCTGTGTGGCTTTCGTGTGTGGCTGTCTGTGTGTAGCTGTGTGGCTTGTGTAGCTGTCTGTGTGTGGCTGTCTGTCTGTGTGTGGCTGTCTGTGTGTGGCTGTCTGTGTGTCTGTCTGTGTCTGATATTGCAACTTAGAAAAAAAAATCTTCAAACTAGATGGATGAGAGGGGGTAGGGAGGGGTGATGAAAGGGGAAGGAGAGATGGAGAAGAGAAGGGGTAAATGGGGGAGGAAAGGAGGAAGGAGAGGGAAGAGGAAGAAGTGGAAAAAACGAGAAGGAAAGAGAGGGTTAAGGAGAATGAGGTGATAGAGAGTGTTGAAGGTTTGAACTAGGATAGAGGGGGAGGTATTTCCTGTTCACTAACCATCTGGGTTTTTCTACGTAGTGATAAGAAGATAACACAGGACAAGAGTGTACTAAAATTTACACACACAAGCACACACACACGCACACACAGACACACACGCACACACACACACACAACACACACAACACACACACGCACACCACACGCACACATACACACACACACACACAACACACACACACACACACACACACGCACACACACACACACACACACACACAACACACACACGCACACCACACACACACACACACACATTAGCACCGCCACAAGTCACTTTGTCTCGCCGCCCGACCACGCAGCTGTCTCCTTGGAGTTTTTTTTCCTCATTTCATTCCGTTTTCGTCGAATTTTTGTCCTTATTTGACCTTTTCTCTTAAGTCAAGTAAATTTTCTTTCCTGATTTGTCCTTATGTGGTAGGTTAGGTTTGGTTTGGTCAGGTTTGGTTAGGTTAGGTTTGGTTAGGCCAAATTGTCCATCCTGTCGTTATCATTTTCCGATTTTGTCTGTTATTGTAGAGGCTTGTGACCATTTTGACGCGATCTTGGTTTCTCCCGCCAGCGTTTACTGTTACACCTCGCGCTCATTCAACCCCACCTGACCTTCTCTACAACCGGGAGGTTAGCGTACCAGTTTCAATACTAGATTATAACATTATAACATCAGACCAAAACCGAAATTCCTACCAACCAAACCTGACCAAACCAAACCTGACCAAACCTAACCAAACCAAACCTGACCAAACCTAACCAAACCAAACCAAACCAAACCAAACCAAACCAAACCTGACCAAACCTAAACCTATCCTGACCAAACCAAACCTGACCAAACCAAACCTGACCAAACCAAACTAAACCTATCCTGACCAAACCAAACCAAACCCAACCAAACACAGTCAATTATTCTTAAAAATTTTATATGGAATAACTGACTGTCCCTTTTTTTTTTAATTAAGAAATATACATCATTAGAAATTTTCAGACAGTGTAATACGGCGCTATGGGCTTCGTACACCTAGTGGCCTGGCAGAGAGACGGAGGGGAGGAGGGGAGGAGGGAGGGAGGAAGATTAAAATGTGTCGTGGTTTCATTACAGCTCCAAGCCCACGTTAGTGTCTCACTCTCCTCGTGAAACCTGACGTCCTGTAGCCTCTGTCCCCGGTAAGTGTACTGTACTACTGTATATACCTGTCTGACGTACACACACACACACACACACACACACACACACACACACACACACACACACACATACACACACACACACACACACACGTATGTACAGTTGGGTCTATATCCTCGTTCACTCACCACCACCAGTGTTGCAAAAAGGTTCTCTTGCCCTGTAATCGAGTATTTTTCATCTGGTCAGACGATTATAACTCATCTGAGGAAACCGCGTCGGTGTTGTCAAAAAGCGTTACCCGACAATGTGATTTCTCATCTGATATATCTCAACCGTGTTCTCTCCCAGTTCACCCTCCCCCCTCCCTCATCCGTCTCCCCTTCACCCGTCTCCCCCTTCACCCGTCTCCCACTTCCCCCGTGTCTCCTCCTCAAAGAAAAACATTAATCCTTTCTCTCACCAAATGACCAACACGAGAATAAACAACACAGCGTCACAACACACTTGAAACACTATCCCTAACCTAACCTTTAACCTAACCTAACCTAACCTAACCTTTAACCTAACCTAACCTTTAACCTAACCTAACCTAACCTAACACTATATTTTCTCCATAATAATAATGAACGTTAGATAAGAAAGATAAATATGTTAAGTCTGTGTGTTCGCTTGTCGGGTATTTTATTATCGTCAGTATTATAATTATGAACTATGAAACTTACTTTAAAAAAAATACCAAAGAGTTAAGCTGATATTTTGGGTCACTTATGAGAACTAATCCTTCAGACTATCACCCCTAATAGACTATATCTCCCAGTAAACTATCACCCCTAGTAGACTATATCTCCCAGTAAACTATCTCCCCTAATAGACTATCTCCCAGTAAACTATCTCCCCTAATAGACTATCTCCCAGTAAACTATCTCCCCTAGTAGACTATCTCCCAGTAAACTATCTCCCCTAGTAGACTATCTCCCAGTAAACTATCTCCCCTAGTAGACTATCTCCCAGTAAACTATCTCCCCTAATAGACTATCTCCCAGTAAACTATCTCCCCTAGTAGACTATCTCCCAGTAAACTATCTCCCCTAGTAGTGAGGTGTAGTGAGGTGTAAAAGGTGTAGTGAGGTCTCAAGGTGTTGTCCACGTGTACACAGGATTTGCAATATCCCGTTGGTAGCGACAGTGTCTATCGTTATCTGTTGTGGTGAAGTAAGTTAGGTGATTCCCCAATTGCAGGTATACCATCGTTCATTATCTGTGTGTTGAGTACAATAGTAATGATAATGATGATGATAATAGTAATAATAGTAATAATAATAGTAATAATAATAGTAGTAATAATAATGATGATAACAATAATAATAGTTATAATAATTGTAATAATAATAATAGTAATCAAGAGAGTCACCAGTTTTATCACAGTGTTGCAAGACGTAGTAGATGGCTGTACGCAAGAGTGTTTTGTTGCGTAAAAAAATGCGTTACTCTAAAACTACTACACTGATTTATCTCTCTCCCTCACTCACTCCTTCACTCATTATCTCTCTCCTCACTCCTTCACTCATTATCTCTCTCCTCACTCACTCCTTCACTCATTGTCTCTCTCACTCTTCACTCACTCACTCCTTCACTCATTATCTCTCTCCCTCACTCACCATTATCTCTCTCCCTCCCTCCCCCACCCCTCCTTCCTCCCCGAAACCTAAACAATATTTCTGGTTAAAAAAAATAAAATAAAAATAACCCGTATAAATATATATTAACCTTGACTCTAAAATAAAAATTAAAAACTCATTAAATTCCTGAAATAATTTTGCATAATTATTTTTTTTCTTTTACCAATGTGTGTATAGTAAATAAATTGTTCTTTAAGTAGATGGAAATAAATGTGTATTGTTATATAAATCTTGTCTATTATGTCGATATTGAACTAGAAGTCACATAGGTAGGTCTCTCGTATCGATAAACCAAAACAATGGGTTCCAGGCCAACCATGGTCGATATGATGATGTCAGGACGGGAGACAATATTAACACGGATGAGGCCGATAGTTCCAGTAGTGGTGTTGATCTTAGGATGCCAGGGTGTGTCAGTAGCCGGGTTCAACATCAACACGGAGCTTGCCAGGGTAATGGTTGGTCAAAATAATACCTACTTTGGCTACAGTGTTGTTCTCTGGTCTGATACTAATGATAATATGAGGTAAGTGTCTGTTTTTTTTTTTTTTGTATTGTGGTTGATATTTATTGTTTGTTTAATGAGGTGTTGTGTTTAGTTATATGTAAATCTGTCTCTCTCTCTCTCTCTCTCTCTCTCTCTCTCTCTCTCTCTCCATCGCTATCGTTCTGTTATTTGTACAATTCTACTTACAAAAATATTTCAATGTATGAACTCTTTATTATAATGTCTCTAAAACTAATTAATTCTTAACTTAACCAAAGCCTTAACTTATCCTAACATTAACCTAACCAAACCTACTTGTGTTTTAGGCTGGTAGTTGGAGCACCTAAAGGAAAGAACTCCACGGAGGCGAATTATACCCTCCCCTTAGGCAATATCCATGTGTGTGACGCCTTTAGTGACGCATGTGGTCCCGTTTCTAGCTTACCTACTTTAGATTCTGAAGGTATGTACCGTGTATGTGTGTGTGTGTGTGTGTGTGTGTGTGTGTGTGTGTGTGTGTGTGTGTGTGTAAATAAAAGGAATCCTTCATTATAAACTACGATACCTTAATTATGATAAAAACAAGAGTAAATAAATAAACGGTTAAATAATATAAATCACACATTTAATTTACAATAACTTAAAGAGCTAAAAATAACAAAGATAACTGTAATAACTTATTTTCTTTTCATTTCTCCCTCTTGTGTACAGATACAAGCAGGGTGGCGGTGACGTTTGGTGAGCATATCAGGAAACAAGGAATCGGCTTTGGGGAGACGCTCTTTACAAGGGATTCAAGTAAATCTAAGCTGCTGGTAAGTGTGTGAGAGAGAAGGAGAGAGAGTCTTTCTTTCCATTAACACTCTATATATCTCTCTAACCATTTTTGTCTATCTACTGTGTGGACCGATCTGTCTGTCTGTCTGTGTCTGACTGTCTGTCTGTCTGTCTGTCATAAATATCATTATATATACATTATCTGTACGCTCATTTTTTTCTGTCTATTATTTTATTTCTCTATCTGTATATCTACCCGTCTATCATAATCTATGCCTCTGTCCATCCATCGACCTACCTGTCAACTTACCGTCTACAAAACTATCTCATCAACTTAACTCCTGTCTCACCCACACATCGTTAACTAAGATGTGTTAATTGTTAAATCTGTTCTAGCTAATTGTTAACTCTACTGCCCCCCCCACCCCCCTTTGCAGGCGTGTGCCCCTCGTTACGTCATCAAGACAAAGAAAGGAAACGAGGAATCCCTACAATCAAGAGGAGCTTGTTACGTCCTGGACAGCGTAGAAGGTCGAACCATCCGTCTAGTGCCTTACCCAGGTGAGTCTCTCTCTCTCTCTCTCATGGTGATGGTCGCCGCTAAGGAACACGAAGCCTTCATTTGTTTTCATTCATTATTATTTATGTTATTAACTTTCTATATTATTATCACTTGTACTACTACTCTTATTAGTAGTAGCAGTATTGACTGTAGTTTACTAATCTACTTGGGAACACTCTAGATTCTGTTGATTGTAGATATTACGTGCTGCCGTTCTGTCGTATAATGAAACATCGAATCTTCTGTAATTCATTGGTATCCACAGCGCCTACAGCATTTTGAGCTACTGTGTGCTCAGTGAAGGCTGCCGTTAGCTTGACAGAGTCCTGATGTTCAGTGGCGGCAAAGCTCCTCTGGGTTAGTGATTCCCATCTCTCCCCGTAGTTCAAGGAGTGACCTTTCTGCTGGGGTTAAGTGGGTGCCTTTCACTAGTGTTGGGGTAAAAGCGACCGTGATGGCTTCTTCCAGAGGGTGGAGGAGGGGTCCGGTGGGTGGAGGAGGGGTCCGGTGGGTGGAGGAGGGGTCCGATATCAGGGATAGTGCGCATCAGGTAGTTCCAGCGATGCTTGACTCCATGGGTGAATGCCGCAAAAGCCGCATGTGACTCTGTGTTAGCAATCTCAGACAGAGCTTGGATTTCCCTAACCCACTCATTCACCTTTCCCGTTACGTACTCGGTCTTGAAGTCCGTCGTGCCGATTACTGCGCCTAGGTGCCTTTGGCCATCCTTTGTTATTTGACCTCACTTCCACCGAACACCTCCATTGCCTCGTGATGTTACCAGGCCCCACCACTTTTGATGTCCTTTACTAATACTACTACTATTACTACTACTTCTCCTACTCCTGCTACTACTACTACTACTATTACTTTTTTTTCAACGTGGCCTCCAGCCTCCCCCAATAGCCACACCTTCGCCACCATTTAATTACCTTAATATTAAATATCCTAATACATAAGTAGCTATCCTATCTGTGTTAAATTAGTTGAGCCGCAGATCTATGCGGCTACTACTATTACTACTACTACTATTACTACTTTCACCACAACTAATAATAATGTTCATGAATACTACAGGAGTACTAATATCATATATCTCTCCATTTTCTTCCAGGCAAAAATTATATTTTAAAAAAGAAGCCGTATGTAAACACCTTCTCTCTGACCGGCTTCGGCCTCGCAGGGATGAGTGCCACCATCAGTCAGGTAGGTTGGCCACACTGAGTCAGGTAGGTTGGCCACACTGAGTCAGGTAGGTTGGCCACACTGAGTCAGGTAGGTTGGCCACACTGAGTCAGGTAGGTTGGCCACACTGAGTCAGGTAGGTTGGCTACACTGAGTCAGGTAGGTTGGCCACACTGAGTCAGGTAGGTTGGCCACACTGAGTCAGGTAGGTTGGCTACATTGAGTCAGGTAGGTTGGCTACATTGAGTCAGGTACAGTTGGCTCCACTTCCAAGTTTTCCACTTAGCGTTGTCAATCCTCTCTCCTCGTGAGATGTGAACCTTGAACTTTGAAGTGTGAATTCGAAGCATTCTCTAGTGTGAGGTGAGAAAGAATGGAGGAGTGTGTTAAGGTAGGTGTCTTTCTGTGGTTGGGGGGGCGGGGTGGGGGGTTACTAGGGTGAGAAAGAAAAGTGTACAGTATCTCAGTTGGGAAGATTACAATGAGGAATGTCACTGACAGTACCAACAGAGTTTCCTCAGCTGAGTGTAATCGTCCGACGCTCACCAGATGAAGATACAATAGGTTGAGAGGCGGATGAATTTATGTTGTAAGCAAGGTGTTCCTGTGTAAAAGGAGGAATTTATGAGCAAATGGGTAATAGATATGATTGAATCTATATCTTGTAGAAGCAGTGAATTTTTTTTTTAACTCCTTGACTACGAGATGGAACTTCCCAAGCTGAATACAATCGTCTGGCGTTAGTATAATAAAATAGATAACACACCGTATTGAAGGAGTTTATTACCAATCAAAACAATCAGTAAGTGGGCAACACATATTTACTGTAACACAAAAATAGTTCAGTTGGCAGCTGTTGAGTATAGAATCAGCAAACCACATACAGTTCAGTTGTGCCAAACATTGATGTGAAAGGGGTATACTAAATTGTACAGTATATCCAAGTTGTCTATATATTTGCTAAACTCTATTATGTACCTGTATTATCTATATACACGGTAAACTGTATACCTACATTGTTTATAGAAATATATATATACATATTTAACTGTATTGTTTACATGTACTCAAAGTGCTTTAATGTTTCTGTGCAGGATGAGAGGGACACATTCATGGGCGCCCCTTACGCTTTCTACGGCCAAGGTAAGACTGCAGTAAACCTTCCCGGTAATACTAATTTTCCTGCATTAAATTTCAAGGTAAAGTTTATCTTATGTAACCCGTTATATAGTCTAAAACACACACTCACACCCACACACACACAAACAGGGACGTAAGTGTCAAATTGCCCTTTGAGATAATTCTAAATAAAAGGTAAAATTCTCTACTCACTCACTCACTCACCCTAGAAATAACTCCTGCATTACAGTAGCTGGCAAAATACCCAACACTACCTAATAAACATAAAGATAAATCGAACTTAATCCCCATAATTCCATAGCATCTCTCTCTCTCTCTCTCGCCTTCAGGAATGCTCATCAAAACCACAACAAGTATTAGCAATCCCGTGGCCAACAAGGATGTGTACGGCCCTGCGACGCTCGACTTCTACATGGAAGGATGGGCGATGGTCATAGGCAAGTTCGATGGTACCAGAGAAATCCTCGCTGTCTCTACTCTTGGATATGGTAACAGCCGTGGTCAAGTAAGTCTAACTGTCACTAATATTGTTTATCTTGTCCTAGAGATATTATAGGTAACTTTAATAGATTTTACTGATGATCGTTCCTTTTAGTTTGTGATTGGAGAACTCTAGGGGCGTATAGGTAGGAATTTAAAAGGGGGAAATTTTTGAGTGCTGTTGTTGATAATTTGAAAGTATTTATCAAGGTATTAATTAAAGTATAATAATATTCTTGTTTTAGGGGGGATTATTCACATGTCTGTAGGATTATTTGTTGTTCAGTTGTTTGTTATTGCTTTTGTTGATATCTCAGTTATTATTACTATTATTATTATTAGTAATAGCAGTAGTAGTACAGGTAGTAGTAGTAGTAGTAGTAGTAGTAATTGTTTTTATTATTATATTATTATTATCCATTTTCCCAAACAATACAAACAACAACAACAACAAAGTCAATTAACCTGTTGTATTAAGTTCATGTTAGGTTAGGTTAGGTTAGGTGAGAAAAAGAGGAACAGTTGAGAGAGAGAGAGAGAGAGAGAGAGAGAGAGAGAGAGAGAGAGAGAGAGACCACGTAAGATAAGAAAACTATATACCTGTAATCACACCTCTCATTACTATCCTGCCAGGTGAGTTTCCATAACACTAGATTGGCCAAAAAAGACAAGTACAATATCAAAGGCGAGTTTGGGACGCAGTTTGGGTTCTGTCTGGCAGCGGGTGACCTTGATGGAGACGGGGTAGTTGACCTTCTGGTTGGTGCTCCAATGGCCCTTGGGAAAAGTGGTCTCCTCCCTGACGCCGGGAAAGTGATGGTGTTCTACGCTCCATTAAAACAGGTTTGAGTTATATTAATGGATTATACCTGTTAAAAATATCTGTTATGTTTCTGTTCCTCCGTACCTGTTGATATGTCTGTCTGTCTCCCTGTCTGTTGGTCTCTGTGTTGTCTGTCTGTCTGTCTGTCTGTCTGTGTTGTGTTTCTGTCTTTGTCTGTCTGTCTGTCTGTCTGTCTAACGTGTTATATATCTCAAAATCCTATACGTAATTTTATGCATAATTTCAGATGTACTCTAACCTTTTCTTTATCAGTATTTACTTTAATCTTACTCCTACACCAAACTGTTCTGATCAAACTGAAATTAATCTAACCTAAACTAACCTAACATAGACAAAACAAACTTAAACTAGATTAACCTCAATTAACCCAACCTAATCTAACCTTATCAAACCTAATCTAACCTAACCTAACCTAAACTTGAAATATATGTGAAATTTACGAAATAAATTTGTATCAACTATTAAGATAATATATTAGTGTATTTATTTAGTGGTGATGTAATAACAAATGACTTCATCTGATGTCAGGAGCCCCCGCTGTCTCCCTCCTTGGTGCTGGAAGGGAACTTAGCTTGGGGCCTATTTGGTAAAGCTGCCGCGTTTGCTGGTGACCTCAATCAAGATGGCTATGGAGGTGAGAATTTACCTGTTAATGTTAATGACTTTATTATTTTTTTGTTTACCTGTCAGTGTTGTGTTAGGACCATAATATACACCTGTTAGTGTTGTGGGCTTAAGACACAACACCTATAATTTGATAATAATGTGTCATAGATGATGGTAAGAGGGTGTCACAAGGAGCACTTGTGTGTGTGTGTGGTGGCGGCATCCGGTGTCACTGTGATAAGTACTGCCAGAAATAAGTGTTACCGTTAGCCTTGTCCTCTCTACCGTCCTCTCCTCCACCAACCACTCTCTCCCTCTCTCCCTCCTCCTCCACCAACGTCTCCCTCCCTCCCTCCTCCACCAACCACTCCCTCCCTCCTCCTCCAACCGTGACTGCTTCTTTCAGGATCACCTCGGTGTATGTTA